GTCTCTCAGAGATACTTCCTTATTGACAGTCACTGTCTCTTAGAGATACTTCCTTATTGACAGTCACTGTCTCTTAGAGATACTTCCTTATTGACAGTCACTGTCTCTCAGAGATACTTCTTTATTGACAGTCACTGTCTCTCATAGACACTTCTTTATTGACAGTCACTGTCTCTCATAGATACTTCCTTATTGACAGTCACTGTCTCTCATAGATACTCCCTTATTGACAGTCACTGTCTCTTAGAGATACTTCTTTATTGACAGTCACTGTCTCTCAGAGATACTTCCTTATTGACAGTCACTGTCTCTCATAGATACTTCCTTATTGATTTCACTACTTAAATCCTACACTGCCTAACCATCTACCATATATATTTTTAAACTATTCACTGCTTAAATCATATACTGCCTAACCACCTACCATATCTTTCTTACTCCATATACTGCTTAAATCATTTACCACATATTTCTTAAAGTATTCACTGCTTAAATGGTGTAGTGTTCAGACAAAATACTTTTCCGATATGTGATAAGTATTATTTTGATATCACGGCGTTGATCTAGTTATTGTGTAGTAGCTTCCTCAAGAAACAAATCAGAGTAAATTATTACCAAAATTGTTGAAAACTCGAAATTCTACCACTAAAAATATAAGCACAGAAGTTGAACACGTTATATTAAAACGATTTTGGAGCCTCATTACGTCGTTACATTTCTTGTCGTTACATTTCACGTCCGGTTATGCTCTATCTGACGATTGTGTATCTTGACAATAGCCCTACATCATAGTTTCTGTTGCAAAAGGCTCCAGTTTGTTGAGATATGCGACGGTTGAACGGGAAGTATGACTGGAAGCCTTATTTTGATTAATCCATGCCTTGTTGGCCTCGTTTCGAGACGAAAATTCTGATCGTATTGACCTCAAAACGCCTTTTGACAAATCATGTTTCATGTTCAAATCATGTGGAAGATCAAGTGAATAATTCGAAAGTAATAACAATAACTTGTTTTAATGGCGAGGAGTGCAGGGACCTAAATATATATGCGTTTTAAATATATATATAAAATTTGCAATGGTAGAACAAATGCATTATGGGTAATTCTAATATTTAGTCTTCTCTGAATTCTGGTCCGACAAATGAAGAATTTTCTTGGTTGAAAGTTCACCTTAGGGGTTGATAATTGTAACAAAGATGGCAGATTCTGGTAGCTTATAGGGAACTGTTGGTCAAACTTACCGACATACAAAGCTGTTGTTAAGCCTGATGAAGGATGGCGCTTGCATGACGCATCTCTCTGAGTCGTTCTTTAGTTTTAATCCCTCTGAATGATTATAGGTTTGATACTCTATAAGCATTTCCCACAGAACATTTTTAAGAAATATGTGGTAAATGTCACAATATATTAGTACTAGGCATATTATATATTAGTACTAGGCATATTATATATTAGTACTAAACATTATATATTGGTACTAGGCATATTATATATTAGTACTAGGCATATTATATATTGGTACTAGGCATATTATATATTAGTACTAGGCATATTATATATTAGTACTAGGCATATTATATATTAGTACTAGGCATATTATATATTGGTACTAGGCATATTATATATTAGTACTAAGCATATTATATATTGGTACTAGGCATATTATATATTAGTACTAGGCATATTATATATTAGTACTAAACATTATATATTAGTACTAGGCATATTATATATTAGTACTAGGCATATTATATATTAGTACTAGGCATATTATATATTAGTACTAGGCATATTATATATTGGTACTAGGCATATTATATTTTTCAACAGGGTTTTTCAAGAAGAAAAAGAACATTTTAAGCAGCACATGAAATAAGCAGTGTAGGTTAAATATGGCGGGTACCATCTTTAACCTACATTTGATAGGTACCATCTTTAACCTACATTTGATAGGTACCATCTTTAACCTACACTTGATGGGTACCATCTTTAACCTACATTCGATGGGTGCCATCTTTAACCTACACTTGATGGGAACCATCTTTAACCTACATCAAATGTAGGTTAAAGATGGTACCCATCAAGTGTAGGTTAAAGATGGTACCTATCAAATGTAGGTTAAAGATGGTACCCATCAGGTTACATTGTGTTATTTGTAAAATTTTATATATTTTTTAATTTGGTCTATTAACCAGTGTATTCGATAATATCCGACCACGAAGTAGACTTGGTAGAGACGCTTTAACTGAACCGTTAGTCACTTTACACCAGTGATGTACGAGAATGTTATAATCATTTTTATCTGTAGAGAATCGGAAACTGAGCAAGTGATTCAGATATAGAGCAGTGTGGTTTTAACCCCCACACTGGCGCTGCCAAACTCTCCTGAGACAGGAAGTTTGTACTCTTATCTTCTGTTACAGGCCGTCTCAAGCCACGCCCTCTGGTGGAATCTGTTGTATAAATAACTACATAGTTGTCTGAAATCGTCTTATCTTGGTCGAGCTTCATTATTTACATAACACATAATGCAACTTAGGCGTGTTAACTTTTCCAACTGTTATAACTGTCAAACATAAGTCGGTTTACGATAAAGTAAAGTTACGTGCGGTAGCGGAAGTTGGGTTACTTCCAACGTAATATCCGCAAGATCACAACATACAGTTTCCTCTAGTCCCAGCTGGTGTCACATTCCATGCTAAACCTTCCCGTCCTCGGTATGCCAAACTCGTCAGCCATTGAAAGTAAGTACGTTAGGTTTGTTTATTGTATTTATTCGGTAGTTTTCTTAATACTCTTGTTTCGTAATTGATGGTTGAAATCTTTAACCTACACTACTACTTCTCGGATGTAAAACATTATTTGTGTGTGTATCCGCTTACAACTGGCAAACCGCTGGACCGATTGTCACTAATCCTGACATGTCCTCTTCACACCAGGGGTCCCTAGTGCGTTTAATGGCCACATCAGCCAGTAACTCATTAAGGCTAAAGCTTAAAAATATGCATACACGTAAAGTAAAATGATTCAGGTGTTAAATCCAATATTATTTTCAAATTTCTTTAGTTTATTTTGTGCTTTTGTTCACAAAGCCTACATAGTACACGTTCCATAAGTAGGGTGTTTTTAATACACTTACTTACCCTGACAGTGATTACAGTCCAACATGGCTGACATGGGTAACCCAATCCTCAACAAAGGCAGAAGAAATGGAACGGTCCCTCAACTTGTAGCATCATTTCATTAGAACGGTAATAAAACCAGCCTAATTAGGATGTTTTTAATACATTTACTTACCCTGACAGTGATTACAGTCCAACATGGCTGACATGGGTAACCCAATCCTCAACAAAGACAGAAGAAATGGAAC